AATAACCTCTGTTTTCAAAATCTAGCGTTGCCCTGCATCACACCCGCACTATTGAATGAGTCCAAAGGAACATGAGGAGCTTAGGTGTCAAGTGGATGCATCACTATCCAAGGGCCATGTACGAGAAAGTCCCAGTCCATGTGTTGCACCTACTCTACTCACTCCCAATGGATCATGGTGAATGTGTTAATAACCTCACAATTAACAAAATAATAATACAAAACAGATTTCTTATTCCCCGGTTAGATGACTTGTTAGACCAGTTAAACAGTGCAACACTGTTTACAAAGCTTGATTTGAAAAGCGGCCGTGATCAGATCTGCAAGATTTCCTTCAATACCCACTAAGGGTGACATGAAAGGTTAAATCATGCCATTCAGGCTCTCCATTGCCCCAACTACATTCATGCAGATTATGAACAAGATTTTTTTGCCCCTTCATTGGCAGGTTTGTCTATTTTAACAATATATTAATTTAAAGTGCTAATGCTGATTTCCATCTTTAGCATCTTCAGGAGGCTCTCATAGTTTTGAGAAGAAAAAAATTCTTTGCCACGAAGTCCAAATTTTCCTTCATGACTGACAGTGTCTTGTTTTGGATTATGTAGTATCAGAAGATGGGTTGTCAGTGGATGAATCTAATGTCAAAGTTATCAAACAGTGGCCATTACCAAAGACTGTTCATGAGGTTCGAAGTTTCCATGGTCTAGAACGTTTCTACTGATGATCTATTCCTAATTCCAACACTATCATGGTGCCAATAACAAACAGTATGAAGGCTGGGAAACTTTCTTGATAGATGCAGTGACAGGCTTTTCACTAGATTAAGAAGAAATTGATTTTGTTTGGCCTAGAAACAATCTATTATTGCTCGTTCTACTACTATTAAGGCTGGTTGAGTATCGTGTTAAGGCTGGTTGAGTATTGTGTTATGGCTCATGCCACCAAGACAGTTTGGCTTTGTTGGCTCCCTCTCTAATTTGGGTGTTTTATTGTCATCTCTTATTACTTTCTACTATTATCATAAGAGTTCTATTTGGATAGCTCACAACTTTGTCTTCCGTGAAGCACAGAGAAATTGACTGTCACTTTGTTCCATCAGTCTTCAGTTACTATTGAGCTTTCTTTTGTCTCTTCTTTTTTGCAGCTTATAGACTTCTTCACCAAGACTCAACTTCTGCTTATTTTCAGTTTTTACTTGGCGAATTCTCAATGACTAGTGGGCTCGCATCTTGAGAGAGAGAAGGGAGGTGAAATGCATTGTGTATTTTGGTTAGTTTATATTTGCTATATAGGAATTTTAGTCTTCATGGTTAATTATATTTTTCTCTTTATTCATTTTGTATAAACTATGTAAGAGGTTAATGAAATAATATACAATTTTCTCCATCCTATTTTGAATCAGATAACAAGAGAATCCAGCAAAAAACCTGACCAAGCCAGTGGCGATATTGTTGGTATTAGCTAAAATAATGGAAAGACCACTTACAACCTAAGAAGCATGGACATGGACATTCGCCACAACACCAACACCTAAATTTTCAAAAAATATAGGACAAAACATGTGAGGAAAAATATATAATTTTATAATATATATTATATGTCATATATAAGTATAAATAATTATTATAGTTCATGTATATCAATATTTAATTCAAAGATAATAATTTTTAAAGTCTAAATGAGAAAAATAGATATAGATTTACATTGTTTTTGTTTTTTCATTGTATTCCAAGTTATTTTATTCAAATTTGTACTATGTTTTTTGTATTCTTAGGCCTCGTTTGGCAAATGGTCTTTTTAGCCAAAAAGCCAAAAAGTCACTAAAAAAATCAAAAAGCCAACAACCCATACCAAAAAGTCAAAGATTCTCTTTTCTCTCTACTTTTTGCACAACTTTTCATAAAAAGTCAAAAAATCATCCCAAAGATACTAGTTTTTTTTAGCTCATATTTTAGCTAAATAGCCAAAAACTTACTAAATTAGCCTGTTCCCAAACGAGGCCTAAGTGTGAGGAAGAGACCGAGTCGTGTCGTGTTAGTGTCAAACACAGTGTCGGCAAGGTTGTTAAATCGGGATCCTACGTTGGATCGTTGGAGGTGTTTATAGAATCGGATCGTAGAATCGGATTGAGGATCGTAAGATCCTACCGAAAAAGACAAATTACATAATTATTTAATTTAAATAAATATTTCCTAAAAAGTATACACAAAATGAGCATATATTCTATTAAAAAAAAAGCGAAGATATTGTGAAAAATATAAAACTCCATATAAAATGTACATATAATATTATATAATAGACAACTCGATGGTAAAAGTTTTGTATTTCATCAAAAAAAAAGGTGAAGAAGAAGAATTCTATAACAAAATACTTTACAATCTACAATAATGCATAAAAAGTGATGAAAAATATTTAACAAAGTTGGATATGAAAATAGATTAAGAACTAAAAAGAGAAACTTAACCGAATGATAAGGTTTATCGTTAGCATCCCTGGTAGAGCGGATTCGAATAACAAAAATAATCTCTCCAAAAATTAGGATAAAGTTGCAATCATCTTACCCTCCTTAAACTCAGCTAAAACTAAGTTCGTTTTTCTGACTAGTTAATTTTCTTAAATTACCACAATATTTGAATGTTTGTTTCCTAGTTTTTTTTTTTTGTCTATTTGATTCAATACTACTTAATAATAACAAAAATAATCTCCAAAAATTAGGATAAAGTTGCAATCATCTTACCCTCCTTAAACTCAGCTAAAACTAAGTTCGTTTTTCTGACTAGTTAATTTTCTTAAATTACCACAATATTTGAATGTTTGTTTCCTAGTTTTTTTTTTTTGTCTATTTGATTCAATACTACTTAATTTTTATTATTTATTTTGACCACATAAATGGGTATTTAGACAATAAACATAAAATTTATAATAAAATATGTCATACAATACAAAACAAGGCTTGTAAATAGGATCGGATTCGAATCGGGATTCCAAGATCCTATAAGATCCCATTACCAGGATCGAAAGATCCTACCTATAAGGATTTTTTTACACGATCCGGATCGATTATACTCAAATGGATCGTAGGATCGTAAGATTCGGATCGGGATTCTGATAACCATGAGTGTCAGACACAACACGTTACCTTCTTAGACGTGTCAAGTGTATCATTTATACTTATATATGACATATAACCTTCTTAGAGCCATCGGCACTTGGAATGACTTTATTGTTGTATTATCGCTATAATAATAAGTAAAATGCCTTTTTGACACTGCATATTATATAACACAATTTTATCTCACATAATAGATTGGAAATATGAGAATACAACCCATTTTATCCACCTTAAATTTCAAGTTTGATGGGTCTGACCTCTAAATATGCATCGACAACTGCCCCCAACACGCGTACCCAATCCCATGTAACATAATATAACAATGCTTAACCATGTTTTCAAGGAAACTAATTGATGTCACAGCCCTTCACTGGATGGAGCCCCAATATCTGCTTTGGAAGCCTAGAGTGAAGCTCATAGGTCCTTCGCGTGCGCTAAAAACTTTTTGGTCCAAGAAATGTAGTTGGTAGATTTTTATTTCTATTATTAATATTGTTTAAGTAATTATTAGTTAGATTATTTTTATGTGTCTCCAAATCAAATTAGGGTTTAGTTTCTTATTTTAAATAGGGTTTTTTGGCCTATAAATAATGGGTTTCGCTTTGTTTTACTCAAAGTTGCCTAAAAAAATATTGTGAGGATTAGGTTGTGGCCATTTTGAGTGTCCCTCTTTTTCTCCTACTATGTTCTACATCACTAATGCTTGTTTGCTAGCAAAAAAGCAACTCTAGAGACCAAGACGCTATGAAGCACTGACGCTTCAGAACAAATGTTGTAGCCGTGTCAGACATAGGGACACGATGTGGACACAAATGGGACACGCCACGTGGTATGTCTCTTTATTTAATTAATTCTTTTTCAAGGGTCACCTCAGGGACACCAATTAGTTTTTTTTTCCCCTATTCTTTAGTGTTTTTGATGGATGTTAAATGATTATTATTTTTTTATTAGATTTAAATTATGAATAGATCATTCATAAAAAAGACATAAACGATAAGAGTAAACTTAAGAGTGAGGTTATATATATTGAATTAGTGTTAAATTTTGTTAATTTTGATTATTTGTGAATGTTATATTAAACTACATAGCAAATAAATAAAGGGGTAATTACTCACAGGTCCTGTTATAAGGACCTATGCACTATGAAGTCCCACTTTGTATAGATCACAAAAGTCTACAAGTGTTAGCGACGTTTTTCTAAATTTGTTGCTAAAAACGGACAATTAGTGACATTTTTCTATGACGATTTTCTATATTTGTCACCAAAAAATGACAAATAGTGACGTTTTCAGTGACGAAATTTTCAACTGTCGCTAAAAACTAACAATTAGTGACATTTTCCTATAACGAATTTTTCAACTATCGTTAAAAACTAACAATTAGTGACACTTTTTTATGAAACGCCACTAAAAAAATAACAAAATAAGACTCTGGTAACAATTAAAAGTGAACATGACTTTTTGATGCACCAGAAAGTCATCAAAAAGTCGAGAGGACTTATTGGTGCATCCATCTTCCTAATATAATTTTTCAGTCAATTCCTATATATAATTTATTGACGTGTCCCCGCCATGTCCATGTCTCCATTTTTTTTTAAATCACCATGTCCATGCGTCTTAGCCATGTTTTCTTTCGATCTATTCTGCCATATTGTTGTTCAGTTCTATGATGATGCAGAGGGAATCAAAATCGCATACTTTCTAGCTCCATTTAGTTATTTCTGAATGGTCCTTTATTAAAAAAAAATATAAATAAATAAATAAAAACATCTAGAGCCAAAACAAGCAATGTCTCAGATGTTTAATTCGGGACTCTTTTTGATCTATACGGAAATTTAAGCAACAAGCAGATCCAGAGAAAATTAAGATGAGGGCAGCAGGAGCTACCTGCATTTTCAAGAACAGTTCCAGACCAATTTGTGATTGTATAAATTGCAAGAGCAATAGCACCAACAGGGTCAATCCACCAGTAGAACTGATCACCAAGAACAGCTGCAACTAACCCGACTATATTGGTTACCACATCAAAATAGTGATCCTGGCAATCAACATAAAAAAGAAGTTATACAACTAAAAAATTGGGAACAGAAAGGTTGAGAGCAAGAGCAATGTGGGATATACCTTTGCGTAAGCACGGACAATTGTGCTTCCTGAGCTTCTGCAGTAAAACCACAGTGCAAGTTTTATCACCGTAGCAGATAACATGATTGCGTACAACCATACCAATTGATCAGTGGTCATCTTTTCAGAAGCTTTATCTTCAACTAGTTGTTCTACAGCCTGGACCAATACCTGAAAGCCTATAAAAATGCATGGATATAACAACCTTATTTATTTGTTTATTTTTTATGTATGTTGTATTCCAATAGGTTTGTTTTTTTCTCTTGTGGTGCTCAAAATGCTGTGCAGCATTAACTCATTCCTTGAGACTTGGACAGTGTGAGACAACTGGATGCACAGCTTTTTACATGTTACTTACAGCATAGACACCGACAACACTACTACAAAATGGAAGGAAAGAAAGGAAAGGAAAAGATAAAAGAGAAAGAAAGAGCATGCAAAAGCCAATGTGGTGAAGAAACACATATAAGCTTTTTGATGACAACTCACTCTACCATATCAGAAGATCAGATGGTTGCTATTACACCCAAAATAGAGAAAAATAATAATAATGTTTGAAGCATATTACATAAGAGTGCTTTAATTTTTAACAAATAATGTAATAAGTAACCACCTGACAGGTGAACAAATGAAAGCATTATTACTTCTTATTTCTCAAATGGTCAGTAGTTAAACATTTCTTGCTAAGCTGCTATGCATAGTGGAATAATTAGACTTCATGTTAAGAAATTACTATGATAAAATCAATCCAAAGTGAAAACACAACAAATAAGAAAAGATGCCTTGATTTTTAAATCAAGCACAAAGTAAATCCAGAAAAATTATAATATTTGTCCAACCAAGAATGACAGTTCAGCAGTAGGGAGAGTTAAAAGCACTAAAAACTCAACTTCACAATAGCCTAGAACAACTGAGGAAGATCATGGAAAGACAAAAAAGAGCAAATCTGGAATTTCACACGAACCACATTTAGGGCATCAAGAATTAAAAATTTGGAATTATTTTGAGTTTTCATGTCATTATAGTAGGTTTTAGTAATTAAGGGTGCAACGGTAATTCCAATAATTGTGGGACATGGGTTGTAGGGGTTGCCCATGGGTTTAATTTTGGGTCAAGTTATTAAATGGGTCATTATATATGGACCTTGTTATGTCTAAAATAATCTCAGTGGTCAAAAGTCCAAATTTCCTATTTTGATATTGAAGTAGAATTAGAAGTCATTAAAGTTTCCTACTATGATTGAAGAAGAATTGGAAGTCATAGTTGATCTAAAATATTAGTAGTTGCTAAATATTTTAAGTTTCTAAATTTGAGTTATAGTCCATATAGAATTAGAAAAGTTAATATTATGAGAATTTGAGATTGTGTGTGTGATTGGCCTATCCCTTCTCAGGGTGAAGCACCTCTTTCTCTCTCTCTACTTCTATACAACAAGATTACTGTTCACGTCACTGTTTACGGTGCTCAAAACAGCCACCCGACAGCCCCTGAACACTCGTGTTTTCATTCCCAAAACCCTACCCTTTTACAAACCCCCTTAAACTCCTATTTTTTGAATACTTATGCAGCTACAAAATCCCAAAAAATCCTGCCCTATAAGTCTATTATTGCTGCTGCCAGTACACTTAAACCAGGCTCACTACTTGTAGGAAAGTAATCCCTACTCATCCTACATCAACAACTATAACCAGCAACAACAACAAATATTTTAATGTTAATGTTAACCAACATGCACAATGCATTAGTTCATTTTGAAAAGATGATGTACTATTTAAATGAATAACCACCCTCCCGGGAAACTAATGGCAGGTTAAAACACAATTACATACCGAGTGTGGCCATGATAGCAGCAAAGATAATTATGCCTATTGGTTGCACCCTCAATTTCCCAATAGGATACTTATAGATGTTAATGTTTTTCATTGACAAGTGAGTGAACCAAAGTATGCCACCAGCCATGAGATCAAGTAAGGAATCCAGTGTTGATGCAGCAATGGCTATTGATCCAGTCTCTATTGTAGCATAAATCTGCAAGACATGATGCATATATATCATTGGTATGAAATAACAAATACAGCTATATATTCTCTCCATCAACTTATCAACCAAAGTCATACAAAGAGTGTTTATTTTTCATACAAAGAGTGTCTCTACGTCAACTTATCACCCAAAGAGTGTTTATTTTTCAGCTATATATTCTCTATGTCAACTTACCACCCAAAGTCATACAAAGGCTTCGTTTGGGAAGTTGCTATTTTAGTAGGCTATTTTAGTTTTTGGCTATTTTAGTAGGCTAAAATTTTTGTGTTTGGGAAGATGATTGGATTTTTTTATGGTTGGATGTGATGTTTGTGAGAGAAAAAGTGAAATGATTATGGGTTTGATGTGATATTTTGTCTTATTAGCTATTTTAGCCTATTTTGTCTTTTTGTGAATTTTAGCCTAAATTAGGCTATTTTTTTTCTTCCCAAACACCCCCAAAGAGCGTTTATTTTTCATGCTTTCTATGTAGTCCAAAGCAAAAAGTGTGGCATACATGGCAAGATATTATTTGTTTTCATTAATTGCTTAATAACTATCTCCAAACAAGGGAATCAATCACGAGTATCTATGTAGGAGGTGATATAAAATGGACACAACAAACCGGGGACATAGCATTTCTCATTAATGTAACCTCTTTAAGTACCTTAACATAACATCTTCTTCAAAACATTTGTTTTGTTGAACAAGACAACTGAAAACAGGCATATCTCAAAGACGCAGAACACTTTCAGAAAAATGAAACATCACTTTGTAACAAAAAATAAAAAGGAAAAAGAGTAAATCTACAAAGTGAAACTGTTAACTTCCTAACTCATATCATGTATTAGACTGTTAAAATGTACCATGTCAGGATAACTTCCAGAAGTCAAACCCAGAAATTTTGATTAAACTTCAAGTGATTACAACTCACCTTAAATGCCAGTAGGATAATATTTGCATAATTAGATATCTTCATTGCTCTTTCTTGTTGGGCTTGTTCTTTGAAATCTTCCTCATCAATGCTGTCAGATGTCATCAAAGAATCAACTTCCTCAAACGATTTCAAGGTTGCAATCTGTCTTTCATAGTATTCTTTTTCTCCTATAAACAAGGAAATGTCAGATTATGAGAAAGAGAACAAACGAGGAGAGAGAGAGAGAGAGAGAGTTTGGCCATCATTTTTTAACATATGCATTATGTCATGTGCAATGCGGTCTAACATACAATTTACAAGTGCTTATGTGCTTATATGCAGACACTTGCAATAAGATATGTCCTAAAGTATGGATTTAGGTAGTTAACAACTAAGTGGAAACCTTTAGCGAAACCCAAATAAACATAAATCCTAAGAATTTTTTATAATATTTTGGGTGCCTGACCCCAAATACAGTGAAATAAATCAAATGAAACTAAACCAAACAAAGCTTTGTGTTCCAATCAAGTGGGCTCGGATACGTGAATCCTTTTTTCGTCATTTTGTACTATTAAAAGGTATATGCTCGGTTAAATTAAATAAATTCGTTTAATTTTTTTACTATCGCATCCCAAGTCAATTTACGTCTTCCCCTAACATTTCCTTTTACGGTGATCCTATCACATTCTTCTTTACCATTTCATCTGCTAGTCTTCATTGTACATACCAAACCATCTTAGTTTGTTCTCTCTCAACATATTTTCAATTGTTGCTACTCCTACCATTTAATGTATATTCATTTCTATTTCTCTCTGTCCAAAACTTACCAACCACCCACCTAAGCATCCTCATCTTAACTACACTCAATTTATGAGCGTGTTGTTTCTTAATGGTCTAATATTATGTAGACTGCAAAGTATCACTGGTCTTATAATTGTTTTATAAATTTTTCTTTTCAATTTTGTTAGCATCATTGATCACATAATATGCCAAAGGCACTCCACTTGAACCTACTTTGATTCTATTACAGGTGGGAATTTCTAACACAACATGAATCGTACACGAAGTTAGGGGTTAGGGTTGAACATTTTCAACACAAACACAATTATGACACGATACAATAACATGATTAAATAAATAGGATTATGTTAAACTTGCATAATATGAAGTTGACACAGATAACTCATTTAATAGATAATTAAATACAAATTTTAATGTTATTTTCATTAAAGGATGCCAGACTTGTTTAAATCTCTTATGTAACCTACACAATTAAATAAAGAAAATACGTAAAATAGTATTTTGAGGTTAATATAGTCATTTTGTCTTTTATTTGAGAGAACATGATCTTTTCATTAATTATTTTGAAGTCAATAAAAATATTTTTTTTGAATAAAATAGAGTCAAAATTAATTTTTTTTTTTTTTGAATAATTTCATTTAGTAAAGATTAGTTTCATGAAATTTAACTTATGAAAAAACATTCAATGTGTTTGGTTTGAGTTTTTTGAATTAAGCTTTTTAAAAATTGAGTTATTTGGTTTTCGTATTTTTTTTTTTTAGTGAATATTTTTAAAATTTTAAACATTTTTTTTACTTTTTTAGATGCACCTTACTTAGATGTATCTAAAAAGTAAAAAATTTGTGAAAAAATATTTTTAAAAATTAATAAATACAAAAAAATATAAAAAATGTACCGAATTCTCGTATTTTTTTTTTTTTTTGTATTTTTGGTATTTAGTGAATTTTTAAAAGGTCTTTTTCAAATTTATTTTATTTTTTAGATATATTTATGTTAGGTATGTCTAAAAATTAAAAAAATTGCTCAAAATATTAAAAAAATTCAGTAAAAACAAAAAAACACAGAAAATAAAAAAGTAGAATTTTCTGAAAAGTGTTTTTGAAAAATGATAATCAAACATAGTGATTAATCTTTCCATACACTTAGTATTTTTAATTACGATGATTTTTTAGCATGATACGTTAATATGGCACGAATCAGACATGAATCCAAATAACATGACACAATAACACAAAATAATAATAATAATATTGTGTTAGTGTTAAGAGAATTTTGACACGAATCTGAGATGACATGACACAACACAAACACGATGCCCATCCTTAGATTCTATGGTCACTTCTTTGTTATTTTTACTTACATTGTTACTAAAGTTACATATTCAATTCAGCTACTAATTTTAAACCCTTTTGACTCAAATGATTATCTCCAGATTTCTAATTTAGTGTAAATTCCTCCCTTAGTTTCATCCACTAGAACAATATCATTTGCGAACAACATACACCATGGGACATCATCCTGGTTGTGGTTACTTAATTCATCCATGACTAAGGCAAATAGGTAAGGACTCAAAGCTTTCCTTTGGTATAGTCCTACAATGATTGAAAATTCACTAGCTTCTCCAACAAGTGAACTAATTGTAGTCACAACCTCATTATCCATATTTTTATCACATCAATATACTCCTTGGTTACACTTTTTTTTTCCTCTAACACCCACTATATTATATCTCCAAGCAACCTATCGTAAGGTTTTTTCTAAATCTATAAAAACTAAATGAAAACCCCTCCTCTTCTCTTTTCACTTTTTCATTAATCCACTTAGTAAATATATGGTTTCCAAAATTGATTGGCCTAGTATAAATCCAAACTAATTAACTAACAATTACCCTCTATCACAATCATTTTATGAATCATCAACACATCTATAATTGTTGCAATTTTAGATATTTCCTTTATTTTTATATATAGGTACAAATATACTTTTTCTTCACTCATCATACATTTTCTTAATCATTAGAATCTTATCAAATAATTTTGTTAACCAAGAGCTAAGCATTTTCAATGCCAACAACAAGAATACAATCCAATCCCAATGCTTTACCTAATTTCATCCTCTTCAATATAAATTCCACTTCAAACTCCTTTATTGGATGACAAAACTTATACTCTCTAGTTCCATCAATGCTACCTGTGATGACTGGGCTCGTGAATCACCTCACTTTTCCTTAGTTGTGTGGATTTGTATTTTTTGAAAACTCTTGTTAAAAGTTTCGTTCTTATTTGTTTCTTTTCCGAAATTTCATTTGTTCCTAAAGGTACGAGATTGGATCCGGAGGGTTTCGAACCTAACTGGAAAATTCTGGGCTGGGAAATTGGGCCACACGTGCAGGGGCATGGGCCGCACGTGCAGGATGGGCGCCGCACGTGCGGGAGGCCAGGCCGCACATGCGGGAAACAGGGGAGGCTTGGGGTGCATACTGGAATAAATGCAGGTACGGGAAGGAGGTGCGGGACGGTGCCGCACATGCGAGGGTGAGAGCCACACGTGCAGGAGGCACACGCCGCACGTGCGAGAGTGGGCTCCGCAAGTGCGAGAAAAGCCCAGATCCAAGAACTTTGTTTTTTTTTCTCTTTTTGGCTGGGAATATCTCATATTTTTCTTATATCTCTCTCTAAAAATACCGTATTCTCTCCCTTCTCTCTAAAAACCCTCACCTAGCACACCAAACAATTGGTCCTTCTCAATCCATTGAGATTGTGAATCAAATTCTTCTCAAAACTTGAAGAGCTAATCAAGGGCTACCATTGGAGTGGTGGAGATCTTATTTCAACACCTTCAAATTTTTTGGGTTTTCACCTCATCTTTCATCAACAAACTTGAGGTAGAGAGATTTCTTTGAGTTATATATATATATATATATTTATGCTAGATTTTGTTGATTTAAAAGTTTCTTTAATGATATTGAAAGTTTGGTTTTGTCTCATAAATGTTGAGGGTTTTAAAAGTGGGTTCAACCTCTCTCTCTCTCTCTCTCTCTCTCTCTTATTTCAACACCTTCAAATTTTTAGGGTTTTCATCTCATCTTTCATCAACAAACTTGAGGTAGAGAGATTTCTTTGAGTTATATATATATATATATTTATGCTAGATTTTGTTGATTTAAAAGTTTCTTTAATGATATTGAAAGTTTGGTTTTGTCTCATAAATGTTGAGGGTTTTAAAAGTGGGTTCAACCTATCTCTCTCTCTCTCTCTCTCTCTCTCTCTAAACTATTTTCTTGAGGGTTTTAAATCGCATGGTAAGAGAGGTGATGTTTTGAGGAGAAACCTTTTCGAAAGATGAGAGAATGTTGATTTTGGAGAAAAACCCTAGAAATTTGGGGTTAAAGAATATGTTGAGGATCCATGAAATATTATTACTACCAACGTTATTATTGTTTTTCTTGTGTGTCTAATGTAATGAAAAAAGGGGACTTTCTTAAAATGTTGATGAAGGAGAAATGGTAAGGAATATGTGGAATAATTATTTTTATTTATTATTGTTAAAATGTAGTTATTCTTGATGAATCTAAATGGATGCATGGTCATCTTGTGAATCTTACATTTGGAATGAGAAGTGGAAATTACGACCACTAATGGGATGGTGTATGGAAATGCTGAGAATTGGAAAGGTGTGCCTTGCATTGATAGTTGTTGCATTGGCATTTAATTTCGGTTCATCATTGTAAATCCTTGAATAGAGAAATTGAAAGCTCACATTGAAAAGAAATATTTGTGAAAATGAGAATTTATTGAATTGTTTGGGGTAAATACGTTAGTAAGTCCGGATAGGGGGTGTAGATGACATTGATTAAGTTAGCCTGAGTGTTCAGGGTGAAAGATTGAAAACACGTGCGGAGTAGATACCACGTGCCTTCTGGTTAGCTACCGGTAAAGTGGGGTTTTGGTAGAGCTTGCTATGCCTATTTGCAGACACCAACCTAGGGATTACCTGAGTTGTATTTACCGCCCCGTGAATTTGATGTAAAACATTTGAACTGTTGGAACTTCCACATTTTTATGGTGCATGACGATTTTCAAAAGAAAAAGATATGATTTCCTTTTAATGGCATACCGTGGCATGAGCATTTTCATTTCATGGGAATTGCATAAATATATATACTTTGTTAAGAATTTCGTATTGGGCTTTGTGCTCACCCCTATGGAATTTTGGTGCAGGAAAAGACGTGGTGATCCCACCAAGTTGAGGGCGTGGATATGTTGTGAAGAGTAATAACTCTGTTTTGTTATGATTTAATTGCTAGCCAAGGGCTATTCATGTATGGGTCTGAGAGGTCATTTTTGTATAGCCGGGCTTAAGCCTTGGAAATTGTAAGCCCATGAGGGCAAATTTTATTATTTTTGGAACACGATACTCTACATGCTATAGATTCAGGTATTTCTATATCATTGAATATATAATACGAAAGTGGAACTTTTGTATAAATCTTGTTGATTGATGCTGTAATGATTGGAGTATTATTATTATTGTTTAGTGGACGTGGGTTGATGTATTAGATTTATGTTGGATTATTTCGAGGCGTTACAATACCATATTTCTCTCCTAAAGTTTCTAAATGTTTTTCATTTAACATTTTCTCAAAATAACATTTTCACCTTTACATAATATCCCCATCCTTCACTAATACCCTCGAATCCTCACTTTTTATACACTTGACTTTTTCAGAATCTTTTGTTTTTCTTCCTCTCAATTCAACAAAGTTTGTAAATATTTTCTCTTTTTAATATATAATTAGAGATAGTCATTTTCTCTCGGCCTGCACCCGCACCCGCATCTCCAGAAATGGATTTCATTAGAGAGAAAAAATCCCAAAATGGGTACAAGAGCTCTCAAGCTCTGAAATATTCAATATCAAAATATCAACTGAATACTAAAGGGGGGCTAACCACCTATTTACAGGATAAAAAACCAAACTAATTCTAACTAACTCTAATGGTACTAAAACATAACAACCATACTAATTCTAACTACATCAAACTTCTCCTCTGAAGAAAACAACTTGTCCTCAAGTTGGGCCTACAACAAAATGACTCAAGACAACGCCATCAACAGAATCACTCAAAACAATGATTTAGGGAAGCATAATTAACATGCAACAGTGAACAAGACTAAGTAGTTGCAAGTCCTCATTCAAGATCATTCTAGCAAATATCCTTCCATCAAAACAAGTTATCATTTATGCACATCAACCGAAGCCATGTTGAGGTGTGAATAGGCCACTCATGTAGCATGCCGTTTTGGAAGCAAGATGCCATCAAAATCATGCTTCTCACATGGTCCCAAAATAAACTCATCCTTCCTCCAAAAGTCGATCCGGGGTACCAAATCAACACAAAGCGGAACAAATGGCTTTGAAGATAGCATAAGAGGCATTTCTCAAAAGCAAAGATCATTCAACACCCATGAAACTTCAACGTCATGACACTCCACCATAATAACCCGACAACAACAATCTCAACCAACATAAGAAAGACCTCAAACAAATACAAGGGACACGTAGGAGGACAAATTCGAACTTCTAACCTCCTAGTGAGGTGCATGAACTCTTGGCCAATGGGCTAACTTCGTAAACATTCAAAAATTAAAAAAGAAAAAAAAAGTTTGGAAATTAATAAGAAAACAAAACTTGGAGTGGGCTAGTCATAGAAAGATTGTTCAAAATTTTGATGCAGTAAGCTCAAAGAACCAACAACTCATTGTAAAAAAAAAAAAAGTCAAAGTAACAGTGGCACCAAGGAGTGCAAAACAAATTTTGAGAGACGACAAGTGGTGCGTAATGTATTCAAAAAAGTTTTAGATGGGACACATGTCATCCAAAATATAAACTATTACACTTGTATTAATATATATATATACACAAATATTCAAGATATCCAAGCCAATACCCACAACTCTTAGTGGCGCCTCCCCTGGTTTTTTCAAACAGTATCTTAACTCTCAATTAAATGCTGAAAACGCTATGTAAAAGTCGTTTTCATTTAATCTCAGCAGCAAATGTATCTTGAAACTTTCAAATTTAACAACTCCATACTTGAATATCTCATACTACAAATTTTCAATAATTAATCTCAGTTTTATCAAACAGACACACAATAACTATGCATTATCAACTAACAAAAATATAGACTACATATAAAGTATACATTTAAAGTGCCTATTTTTGTTAGGAGCCGAAGAAGACTCGTATCTGCTAGTCAATTTGCTAGCAGAGAGACGGAACAAGAAGGAAACAAACAACAGGAAATTTAGACTATCTTTCTGACCCTATTTTCTACTCAACCAAACAGAGCAATCATGAAAAAAGAATTGTATCACCTTTTTTTAGATCGAAATTATCTTACAGAGTTCACGGAAAAAATTGGAACAATCAAAACGACAGAGAGAGAGAGAGAGAGAGAGAGAGAGAGAGAGAGGAACCTTGAGTTAAGGCAGTGGTTTTGGAGAAATCAATGAGAGAAGCAGACTCGAGGTCGAGGCCAGGTCGGAGCTTATCAGGGAGTCTGGACACGAAGTCTTGTCTGAACGAGTTTACCGAATTCCGGCGACTGAGTCGTAAGCGGCGGCTGCTACTACTCAGCCTCCGACCATCGGTTGCCGCCGCCACCAACAGCGGCGCTTTCGCTTCCGACTCCCCCTCCATATTCATTCCAATCCTAACTCACAAACCTTCTTCACAACCCCAACCCAACACCACCCAGCCACGAGGCTTTTCCCAAAATAAGCCAACCTACTGACTTATTTCCAAACTAATTTTGGATGAAACTCCCAGAATAAGCTGAAACAGGTTTCCAAAGCATGTTTTCAGCCTGTTTGTGGCCCGGCACACAAAATTAAGAAAATCATAAAAGTGTGCTTACAAAATACATTTTTAATTAAGAAAGTGTGGTTAAAAATTATACTTTTAAAAAAAAATTGTTTTGTAAAGAAAATGTAATTAGAAATCACGTTTTTAAAGAAAATTTAGTTTTAAAAGAAAGTGTGATTCATAATTACGCTTTTAAAAGTTATATAAAATGGCACACCCCCTTCATTTGCAACCACGCTTTTTATACTTCATTTTTTTCCCTGAACCAGTCTCCCTATGTTCTCCCTCTGGTCTCACTCTCTCTCTTCGTGATTTCTCTGCTCTCACTCTCTCTCTGTGGGTTCTCTGCTCTCTCTCTGTGGGTCGCTCTCCGCTCTCTCTCTCTCACTGGTATGACTGTCTGTCTCTCTCTCTCAATTTGAATTTTATATGTGTTTATTTTGTTTGTGAAAATGTGAATGTGGGTACAATGTGGGTAGAATATACTTTGTGAAGGTGAAAATGTTGTGAATTGATGAAAATGTTAGTAGAATAGAATTTGTGAATGTGAAAATGTTGTGAATTAATGAAAATGTTGGTAGAATAGGATTTGTGAATGTGAAAATGTTGTGAATTAATGAAAATGTTGGTAGAATAGGATTTGTGAATGTGAAAATGTTGTGAATTAATGAAAATGTTGGTAGAATAGGATTTGTGAATGTGAAAATGTTGTGAATTAATGAAAATGTTGGTAGAATAGGATTTGTGAATGTGAAAATGTTGTGAATTAATGAAAATGTTGGTAGAATAGGATTTGTGAATGTGAAAATGTTGTGAATTAATGAAAATGTTGGTAGAATAGGATTTGTGAATGTGAAAATGTTGTGAATTAATGAAAATGTTGGTAGAATAGGATTTGTGAATGTGAAAATGTTGTGAATTAATGAAAATGTTGGTAGAATAGGATTTGTGAATGTGAAAATGTTGTGAATTAATGAAAATGTTGGTAGAATAGGATTTGTGAATGTGAAAATGTTGTGAATTAATGAAAATGTTGGTAGAATAGGATTTGTGAATGTGAAAATGTTGTGAATTAATGAAAATGTTGGTAGAATAGGATTTGTGAATGTGAAAATGTTGTGAATTAATGAAAATGTTGGTAGAATAGGATTTGTGAATGTGAAAATGTTGTGAATTAATGAAAATGTTGGTAGAATAGGATTTGTGAATGTGAAAATGTTGTGAATTAATGAAAATGTTGGTAGAATAGGATTTGTGAATGTGAAAATGTTGTGAATTAATGAAAATGTTGGTAGAATAGGATTTGTGAATGTGAAAATGTTGTGAATTAATGAAAATGTTGGTAGAATAGGATTTGTGAATGTGAAAATGTTGTGAATTAATGAAAATGTTGGTAGAATAGGATTTGTGAATGTGAAAATGTTGTGAATTGAAATTGATATCAATGTGGGTAGAATAGGGTTTGTGAATTGAAATTGTGGTTTTGAATTCACAAATTGAACCGTAGCTCAAGCCCTAGCCCTAACCCAATTCTAGGATTTCAAATTGAACCCTAGCCCTAACCCAAAGTCTGTAATGCAAATTGAACCCTAACCCTAACCCAATTCTAGGGTTTTCAATTGAATTTGAATTCACAAATTAGGGTTAGGGTTTTTTTTATTTTTTATTTTTTAATTCAGAATTGAATTGTAGGGTTTTTATTTTTTGATTGTCAGACAAATGTTCACAAAAATAATAAAAAATAAAAAAATTTAAACTCCCTTAAAGTTTATAATAAGAATCTTATAAAAATTATAAATTCTGTATGAAAATGAGTGTAACAGAGAATGAATAATTCTTTTAAACTCTCTTAAAGACTTTTTTTTAATTAATTTTTATATTTATTAGTATTGTTTGAACATAATTACTAAAATTTGCTTATAC